ACCAGCGCCCGGCCTTTTATTGTATTTTTATAGGTGATAGATAGAGGGGTTATATTTACATGAATCAGGTACAATCAGTACGTTTGTTTTTTGGGGTCAGTCGTGGGGCTTGAACTCGGGGCCTGGGCGCTGTCCCTCAGCTCTTCAGCTCAAGGCTAGCGCTCTACCGCTTGAGCCACAGCGCCACTTCCGGTTTTCTGGTGGTTTATTGGAGATAAGAGTCTCATGGACTGTCCTGCCCGGGCTGCCTTTGAACGGCGATCCTCAGATCTCAGCCTTCTGAGTAGCTAGGATTACAGGCATGAGCCACCTGGCTTGAAGCTTCCCTTTAGTGTAGGAACTCTTCACTTAAGGTCCTTGATTTTGATTGCAGAATAAGAATTTCTGGACAAGTCAGAATGGTAAGAAAATTTGGCAGAGGGGCTGGGAATGTGGCTCAGTGGTCGAGTGCCTGCCTCACATGCAGGAGATCCTGGGTTCGATTCCTCAGCATCATATAAACAAAAAAAAGCCCAAGCCCAGCGCTGGTAGCTCAAGTGGTAGAGCGCTGGCCTTGAGCTGAAGAGCTGAGGGACAGCGCCCAGGCCCAGAGTTCAAGCCCCAGGACCAAAAAAAAAAAAAAAGCCCAAAGTGGCACTGTGGCTCAAATGGTCTTGCGTTGAAGTGGCCTTGAGTTGAAAAGCTGAAGGACAGCGCCCAGGCCCAGAATTCAAGCCTCATGACCAACAACAACAACAAAAAAAACAACTGGCAGAGTTTATTGAGTAAGTGAACAAGCAGATAAATAGACAAATGGCAGACAGATAAAAAGCAGAAATAATATTAAAGAACATTATTTTGTATGCTCCTTTGGCCATCGTTATTGAGCCTTTGTCCACCACTCCTATGCACAGCTTCCTTTGGCCTCTGTATGTTAACTAGGGTCTGACACAATTTATCGTGTCCCAGGGTTATTTGTTTTAGTCATTCAGTGTGTTGACTTGTAGATTTATAGGCACATTCTAGTTACCACAAATGAGAGAAAACAGGCAGCCTATATTTCTATATAATATTTTCCAAATCTTTCTATTTCCTTACAAATGGTACAGTCTCATTCTTTCTGATGGATGAATAAAGCCTCTTACCTCCAATTAACCAGAAAAAAAAATAAAGAAAAAGGAAAAAAGGAAGTGAAGGTGCAGTTCAAGTGGTAGAGTGCCAGCCTTGAGCGAAGAAGGAAATCAAGACCACAAGACCTTCCTAGCCCTCATGAAGTGAGCATTCTCTGCCATTCTCCCCACCACCATATGTGTTGGCTGGGGTAAACTGTGGAGTCTGACATTCCAGCAGTCGGAAGTTCTGCCTGGCTGTCTCTATCTCTGTCTCTATCACCCTGGCCAGGCCAGATGGCCAGGCCACTAACATTAACCCAGCCTCCTGCTAACACAACACCATCTCCTATTTTCTTGCAGGCTCCCTTCCTATAACTACTTTCTCCAGTTTACTGACAGCTGCTGCTCTCTGTCCTGTTGGAGTCAGCCTGCCAGACTATCTGGCACTTGAACCTCCCTCCACCCCTCAGCTGTGTGTGGTATGCTTTATCCAGTTGAGACATCTAACAGTGGGTATATAGGCCTGTACCTAGGGAGCTAGCATACTTGGAACAGAAGCCTCTGGAGCCATGTGCCAAAAGAAACCTTTCTTCTGCAAGTTGTTTCTCTGAGGTGTTTTGTCACAGCAATGAAAGGCTGACAGATAGATACAGCCTCCCTTTGTGCATGAATCTGTGTGAAGTTGGTCAGGATACATTGTGTTCAAATGTTGGGGGTGGGGAGGGATGGGGGAACTTCCCAATTGCGTAAGGTAAATTAAATAAGTAGGTTTAATTAGGTAGCTGATGAAGAGAATACCACACGGTATTCAGGCAGGAAGAGAAGTTTATTCCAAACCGCCTGCCTGTGCTGTACATGGTGAAGAGCACATGGCTGAAAAGGGTGAGTCAAGCTCCTGCCTGGGTTTGGGTAGGGAAGGGGTGGGGAGAAGGTGTGACCAGATGTGGCCAGGTATGTGGGGGGGGGTGGAGGGTGAGAGGGGGAGTGTGGTCACACCAGATGCTGATGTGTCCTCAGGACCTGGGCCCTTCCCATGGTCTGTTGGGAAGGGTGATCAGGGTGGCCCAGGATGTGACCTCAGAGAAGAGAGAGGTGACTGCTTCCAGGTGCCAGTTACCTAAGTGACACAGGTACAGGGCGGAGACTTAGCCAAGAGAGGGGAGAGGAGTCGTCCCAGGGTGAACCTTACATCTTGTACAACAAATGTAGGCAATTTTTTTTAAGCTATCAGTCAAGTGTATTTATGGTCCCTTGTTATTTCCTACCTGGTCCATCTGCCCAGAAATGAACACAATGTAAACTTGGGTTCCAGTCTAAGTGATCTGTGTCTGCGTCTGTCAGGAGTTGAGTGAGCTTGGTTATCTCTGTAGGCTTACCTAGGCTCAAGCTCTGCCCTGGGCAGATGACCACTGAGCACCCGGCATCTCTAAAAAGTTAGGTCACTGAAGGTACCACAATGATCCAGGAAAAAAACTTCACGAACCCAGAGTTTAGAGTCAGGATTCACAAAGACCATGAGTGGACAAAGGCTGCCTTAGACTCCTACTCCTTCCCAGAGTACACAAAGAACCCCAGAATTTTCCTGAAGAAGTCATTCTGGCAGACCTTGTAGATATACCTCCTTCATCCACTTAGGGGAATGTGTTTGTCTGTGGAAGAGAGAAGCTCAGTCAGAGAGAAGCTCATTGAGACGTCTGCTAGGTCAAAGACCAGATCTAGACAGGGGTAACTCACTATATTGGTGATGCTGGCTAGGGGGAGTCATAGAACCCGGAGATTATAAATAACAACAACAACAACAATAACAACAGGAGCAGGGATAGCAATAACTCATTAGTCACTGCGTAACTGATTTGGAAACTGTGTTTCTGCACTTCTGCAGAAGTAATTTCACTCACATGGGGCACTGGTGGCTCATGCCTGTAATCCTAGCTACTCAGTAGGCTGAGATTTGAGGACTGCCGTTTGAAGCCAGCCTGGGCAGATAAGTCTCTGAGACTCTTATCCTCAATTTACCACTAAAAAAGCCAGAAGTGGAGCTGTGGCTCGAATGGTAGACTGCTAACCTTGAGTATGAAAGCCCAGGCCTTGAGTTGAAGCTCCAGGAACAACCTTCCCCCCCTAAAGTTCATGGGACCCCTTCTCAACCCATAGCTGGTGCTTGTATGATTGACTTTTAGCCTAAATTACATAGGAAGCTGAGATAGGGAGATGGTTCCAGGTTCAGCCAGTCAGAAAAGTACACAAGACTCCAGCTCAACGATAGCATCTTAGCTACTTCAGGAAGCCTAAAATAGGATTGCAGAAAGCAAAACCTTATTTCAAAAATAATCAGCACAAAAGGGCTGGAGGCATGACTCAGCAGTACAGTACCTGCCTAGCAAGCAGGAGGCCTTGAGTTCAAACCCAAGAAACCACAAACAAACAGAATAAAGAAAATACCAGCTAGTAGATTAATTAGGAGATGCACAGGACCTCTTTGAATTCAATCAAACTCATCAAGGGACAGAATTATCTGTGTTGATGTCCTAGATGAGGGACTATCAGGCCAGGAAATTAGAACTGGACTATGATAGCTGCATGACCCTGAGCTAATCCCTTCTTTCAGAGAAACTTAGCTTCCCAGTGAAAAGATTACAGTCCTAGTGACAATGAGATAAGGTCTGTTTCTTAGTCCTGAGAAAATGGCTGCCCTCTGTGAGTAAAGTGGTTTGATAAGACATAGCCAGTCATGGGACTAATTATGGCTTTTAATCTTGGTATTGATTTTAAGGCAATAGAGAAAAGCTTTCTGTGGGATCTGTATTGCAGTATTGTTTATCATGGCAAAAAATCAGAAGCAAATTCAACATTTGGAATAAGAGGAGAATAGTTAATTAAATGATGGATGCTGTACCTGAGGCTTGCGGAGATGCTCCAGTGCAGAGCACTTGCCTAGCATGCACAAAGATTTGGTCCCCAGCACTATGCTAGAAGCAAAAAATAAAAAAAATGTGGAGGACGAGGGAGGGAAGGAAGAAAGGAAGGAGGAAGAAAAGAAAGGAAGGAAGGAAGGGAGGAAGGAAGGAAGGGAAGTTGCTCTAATTATGTAGATTCATGCAATCATATAGATTATCTTGAAAAATA